TTGCTGCATAAAGAAGTTCTACCTACAAATAAATGTTACAATGTATGACGTATGTGTATATAAAATATACATATGCAAATGTTGCAACACACACAACACACATACGCATACACACACACACATACACATATACACACACACACACACACATATATATATATGTATATATATGTAAAAATAATCTAATATCCAATATTAAATTTAAACTTTTAAAACAATTATATGTGTTTTATGTTGTGGCTCGTATTCAGGACGAATTTTCTTTAGCATGCTTAATGCTAAAGAATTACTAAATGTTCGCTAATGATATTAGCACACATTTAGCATACAATTAGACACATTACATATAGAGTTTCAAAAATATAAAAGAAATATAAAGGTATGTTCAGATTATTGAGCCTCAAGTCGTGAAAAATATTTTAAGAATATTTTAAGAAATATATAAGCGTTTTAAATACGGGCCTATATATTAAAGGTATCATTTCATGCAGGGAAGCTTCGCTGGCGTAAATCATAGCCAGAGTCAGCATTGTTCAACTCATAGTTGGATAATGTTAAACTTTGCGCGAAGCTTCGCTCGCTACGCATTTTCGTACAAATCGACAGAGTGGGAAGTCTTCATCAGCGAAGCTTTGCTGCATGAAATTGTACCTTAATATTAAAATGAATTTAACATTAATGCGACTTTCTATTTTTTTGATATGCTTCCGTGGCAACGATTTTATTATTTTCTTTCTCATTAGTGTAAATGTACGTAATCAATCACCATTATACGACAATATTTAGCAATCGTCCTTTCTAAACTATATTTTTATTAACAGGTATGAACAAAAATTTAAGATTTTGTTAATATATTATATATGTTAAAATAATTATATATATAATAAATAACTTTCCTAACTATATTCTTAAACAACATATATATGTTTAATTAATTTTTTATTTAAGGACTGTGTCTTAATGCTGTAAAAATTTTACAAAATGATGCGTTGCTTAAAACAGTCCATTTTTGTTGTTCGAGATTTTTCATTGCAAACGTACAGAAAATGTTTCTATCGCTTAATGACGAAACTGTCAGATACATTAGCAGCTACTAAGGAAAAGAAATGCATGCCACTCAATTCCAATGACATAATATGTAAGAAAAATAATATTTAATTATTCAAAATAATTCAAATAATTTAATATTTAATAATTTCCAAATAGAAATTTTTATTATATGGAATACAAATGAATTAAGTCACATATTTGCATTATATTTGAAGAAGAGAAATTTTGTTATAAGCTAATATTAATTTGCTAATGACAAAATTTCATGTTATACTCAAATTTCTCTAATTCAGCCGCCTCCGTGGCACAATCACATACAATTCCGACAATGAATGCAACGTCAACGAAGATGATGCCATTATTGGAAACGGCAAATTTTGAAATAACTACGGAAAATGTTAAAATTCCTAAAGTTATGCCACGTGTTCGTATAGAAAAAACATCATTACCATTTGAAGAGATTCCTGGACCGATGATCTTGAAGTTATGGGAAAAATATTGGAGATACGTGCCACTTCTGGGTACGCAACTGTTTTGCAGTCTACTAATTAGCAGATTTATCCAGGGTACGATCCCTTAAAGTTCAATTGATTAAAATCCGAAGAACTGTTTTGTATCTTCAAATTGATATTAAGAACAGAGAGAAAATGAGAAAATATTTTGCTTTATACTTGTACATATAAATTATAAATACACATAGAATATAAATTAATTTTGGTTCTTCGAATTTTGAATAATTGCTTTCTGATGTTAAAAAAATATACAAAAATATGTAATCTTCTAAAATTTATAAATGCACATGTATTTAAATAATTTAAATGCACATGTATTTAAATAAATTATATATTTATATGCTTATATGTAGTATATGTATATAAAACATTTTAAATAGCTATATTTTTCTCTTATGTTATAAAAACATATTTTTATTATATAAATATATCTCAGTTAATATACTAACTAAAAGTAACATAACATTAATTAATATTATAATTTCGCACTCAACAATATAAATGTAATATAACATATAGTTACATACAGTTACATTATTTTAACATAACAAATTTTTTAGTGATTACTGTATTTAATAATAAAGACAAAGTAATTCGTATGAAAAACGATAGTTTATCTATTACATATCAATTAAGGACAATAATTTAATACATTATATTGCAGGACGATTATCTTGGAATCGCAACGTCACACCAATTAAGTACTTATTTGATAAATATGGATGCGTCGTACGAATTAACGGGCCGCTTGTAAATGACATAATTATGATTCACAGGTAAGATATTACAACGTGTATTTTTCCCAATAATTAACGTATCGATCGTTCTAGACCTGAGCATATAGCAGAAGTTTTCAAGCAGGAGAGTGAATCACCTATTCGTAGTGGCATTGATATCCTCCAACATTATCGCCTTAATCATCACAAATATCGTTCTGCCGGAGCGTTTTCTCTGTAAGTGTGCGATTAATTATAAAAGAAATTTATCATAATTATTTAAATACACAAAATAATAAATTCAATTATGTTTGTGATCATTGTTGTGATCATTTAAAGTAATATCCTAAAGAAATGCTTGTTTTTAAATTAAACAAATCCTCCAATATTTAATCATATTCTATCTATATAAAAACTTTCATAAGTTTTATAAAAATATAGCTTATATTTGTGTTTATATTTATATTAAACTGGAATTATGTGATGCTCAATTTTTTAAGCATGCATGTATGCTTTGATGAACACAGTCTAATATTTGACAGATAAAATGAAATTAGCATAATTGCTTTATTTCTAAACTATTATTTCTAAAGTACTGTAAATACTGTCAATTGTCTTGATCACATGATTTTTAATCTTTTGATTCGTACATGCAAGGAAACAAGCTATGAAATAATAAACATAAAAACCATGCATATCAACATGCAGCGATCAATGAATGTATTCTATACATATGAACAGGCATGTATGCATGCATGTATACAAATCATTCAAGAAATCGAACAGCGTGTAATTCCAGCAATTGTTTTACGTAAATATGTAACGTTCTAACTTCTTTGAATATATTTAATTATTTTATTCTGTTATTTTTTCTACATTGTTCAGATTTAATAAAACAGTAATTTAATTAATAATTTGATAATAAATTTTATGAAATATTAGACAAGGTTTGGAGTGGTTAGAAGTAAAAAAGAAAGTTGCTCAGCCGTTGCATGAGACTGTTTCCGATTATATTGAAAAACTGGATTCAGTGTGTGACGAACTTATTAATAAAATTCGTAATATTCGCAATCGTCAAGATGAGGTACATTAATGA